ACACGAGGAAGCCCTCCTTAGGAGGAATGTCTTTGGAAGACGTGGTGTGTCTGAAAATACCATGTGTCTTGCTGTTGATGAGCTAAAATTCAGGCAACCGTGGCTGGGTTCTTAACCCGCGAGCTGTGGCAGATGAAGCATGAGGAGGAGTAATTCAGTTTTTTCCTCCCCGGATGCTTCCTTGGTCAACCAGATGTGTTTTTTCTACATCAGAAGCCTCTCTTCAGGCCTGAGACACCTTGCTGCACTCTGCCTTGCCAGGATTACAAAGCAGGGATTTTCTGTGCATCTGGATGGTTGTGTAATTGCCTAAGAGAGTGAAACTCCATCTCAGCTGAAACCTCTTAGCTCTGCTGCTGAGATAAAAAGCAATTAACAGTAACCGTAACCAGAAACATTTTTAGTGTGAAGATGGGCAGAGAATGGCAAATAGATACATCAACAAAGCTGTTTCTGCCTTGTAGTTTGCTGTTTGCAATCAATGGGTCATTAATTTTTATGTGGCTACCATGTATTTATAAGCAGTTTGGGAATCTGGAACTTATTACATATGACAGTGGCTTTGATTATGTTGGCTGCTTTGCGTTACCCGTGATCCTTTGGTTTCGAAGTCACCCCAAAGGACGCAGCAGGCAGAACTGTGCTCTGGGGAAGCCCTGGTATCTGAAAGCAATGTGCCTGCAGGCTGTGCCCTGCTGGTCGGATCTCTCAAATATATTTCGTCCAAATGGGGCTGATTTTGCACAGCCATTGCACCTCCGATGGCTCATGAATGCTTAGTAGATGTTATGTAGCTTGTTCTTCTAAGTAAGTGGTATTTCATCCTGTCAAATACGAAATTGGCTCAGGTCAGAAACTTTGCGCTGAGCTAGGCAGTCCTTGTGGTTTTCACTAATTAAATCTAGGGCAGATAACCAGTGGATTCTTCATCTGAGCAAGATTGACCATTTTGACCTCTTTTCTAGATGTTTTCTGATTCATTACCTTGTGTTTCAGTTCCCTGAAATGGAAAAAAGCTCTAAAGTATGTTGGATAACTTGAATTTTACTCAGCAAGTGGATTATTTTACATCAAGTAAGGTTTTCTTTCCATGCAAAGTCACAGAGGCATCTGTATAGGACAGATGCATAAAATAATGCAAAGAATGCTACTTGGATTCATGTAAGTGATGCTTTTTTAATCTGAATAATTGCAAGTTTCCAGTTAGCAAATATGAAGATGTCAAGAACACTGTTGCACTCAGCACCAGAGCAGTGCTTCACTTATCAGATATTTTTAAGCAATCTCTCCTGGTTTGTTTTGTATTAGGCTGTGTCTCCAGATAATCTGTCAGCGATTACCTGTCTCGTTTTTATTATGTTCTGTTCCCTTGTGCACTCATTCAGGACTTCATTTGCTCCCATCTTGCAGACAGTTTTAAAAGCTAGGCTTGCTTCCCCACCACATGGAGAATTGATGCCTTTATTTCGGGTGTTTTGTGCTGTCTCCCAGGTATAAGGAGATGTGCTGAGTTTGTTCTACCTGAAGTTGGGATGGCAGCCAAGTACAAACCAAACCAGACCTTCAGCCCCTCACGGGTAAGAAGGGTTTTGCTGTGGCACTTGTGCATTTCACACATAGCTGGGTGTCCTCTTTGTCCTGTTGATAGCATGCTGTGGGCAGTATGAGGGCATTACGCTGGAGCAATCCAGCCTGGAAAGCTGTGATGCTGCACAAAGCTTGCCAGTACTTCCATGCCCATCCTGTACACGAGACAGCACAGATTCACCTCTCGCTCAGTGGAGGCAATGTATTGTGAAGAAGATTCTCTACTGCCCCAAGTGTGCCTAGACCCTTACAACTTCAAATTTCTCTTATATGGAAGATGGCAGACAGCAGGAATTTAAAAAACATCCACTTTTGGCTCAACAGCTGGCCGAGGAGTTGGTATGTCTTGACTCACTTTTGGTGAGGCATTGGAACAGGCTGCACAGGGTGGTGGTGTAGTCACCACTGCTGGAGGTGTTCATAGAATAGTAGGTGTCACATCGAGTGACATGATTTAGTGGCAAGGTGGCGAGCTGGTGGTTGGACTAGATGATTTCAGTCTTTCCAGCCTTAATGATTCTACTGTTCTAGGGAAGGACATTCATAAAAATTTGCAAACATGGGCACCTTGGTCATCCTCACAGCGTAAGGCAGAGGGATTCTCCCCCTTGAACACTGCAACCTTTGTAAGAATGGATCTCAGCACACTCCTGCAAGTGGATGTGCAGATTCCAGTGGGATTATCCTGGTGTAAACCATCAGGCCCAATGAACCTGTGATCCTACAGACAGGAGAGAAGGGAAAGCAGGTGTTTCTACAGCTTTCCTTTTCTCCTCCATGCTCCTTTAAAAAGGATAAATCTCTGCTGTGCAAATTTCCTGACAGCGGAATGCAAGCAGAAGACAGCCTGTCTTATCTCCATTTGCCCCCTTCTGTGCAAACGCTTCAGTTGCTTCCCCGCAAATTCAATGTTTCTCCAACTGCTGACGTGCTCTTCTTCCCTGCTCCGCAATTATGAACCGATGTGCTGATGTTTAAGTAAAGCGTTTTGTTTTTAAATGTGCGACATCCAAATTTACCCCCCCAGAAAATCCACCTTCCTCCCCGAATTCTCTCTGCTGCTAATTATAGAAATCTCGGCTTTCCAGCAGACACATTAGTCAACGGGAAGTTCAGCTCTTTTCAGAGGCTGAAGCTGGGGAAAAATAGGCTGAGGATGGTGCATACAACTGGGGCGTGTAGCAGGTATGCACTAGAGGGGAATTTGGAAATGCAAACAGACCTGGGGGGGCTGCCAGCTCCCTTTCTCCCACAATATTGCAGAATATCCCAGAATATTGCATTGTTGATCAGTCTTCATTTTTAAATCATCTAACACTATGCTGTCAAGACACATGTGTTGTTTTCACAGAGTTGGCACCAGAAGTTATTCTTTTTTTCTAGCTCCATATAGAGAAGGGTAACAAACATTCTGGGTTTGCTCGGAAATTGTTATGAAAGGAGATCCTGGGTTATACATCATGGTTGTTCCTGCAGTGAAGGTGTCTGAGTTTCAGCCCTGTGGTGCTCCTGGCTTCTAGGGTGAGGCCTCAGACTCCATCCGCACCACAACAGACGGTTAAAGTATATTTTCACAGCCACTCCAGTACTGATTTTTCTTAGGGAATCTTATTTACTTACTGCATTCCTTTATTACACAAGAAAGCTGGAGTCATTTTTCCTTCTAATGTGTTTTAGAGGCAATCTGACATTTTCTAATGGCTCTCAGGTATGCATAATTCACCCTGTTCCTCGTCTGCATTTTCCAAAATAACACTGGAAAATTATTTGGGCTCCTGCTTTTTTTGGACAGCCATTATTCTCACTTTTTCCAGGTTGACCTATAAATGTCCATATGCTGCAGGATATTTGCAGTAGGTGTAGGTTCCTTTGGAGACGGTCTTGTGTGGGAGACAATATGACAGCTCATCTGCATAGCACAGGCATCATACCCCTGATTTGATTTAGCAAAAAGTCCTGGATCTGGAGGCTTCTCCCATTCAGCCAGTATATTTAAGGGATTGCTCATATACACACAGTGCTCTCACAGCGTCATTTCTCCGTTCTGTGGGTAGTGCAGGTGGTTGTGCACAAATCGTGGCACGTGGCTGACCCTGCTGGGGAAAACTGCTTCTGGGGTTGCTGGTGGTGAGTGTCCATGGTGCATCCAGCCATCCTGGGTTATTACATGTGTGTTAAAGAACACTCTGCTCTTTCTGCCTGGTGTGACCCCAGCTGTTCTCTAGCTTTCTTGGCTGTGATGAGGGCCATGGGCTGACCGAGCAACTGTGCCACCAACTGTTTCAGAAGGGGACATTGTGGCTATAAAAGGCTGTGACAGTTGCCTGATCCCTGTTGGGCAGAGGTGGGGTACTTCTGCCATCAGGTTTGGGCTGGTGTGCCAGTGGGATGGTTGTCCTGGGTGGCAGTCTAGCTGCAGCTGCGTGTCATTCGCTCTGAAGGGCTGCATGCAGAGCTGGTCTCTCTGGCCTTGCAGGAGTGATAAGGAGCACTGTCAGTGAGCCTGGAGGGGTTGTACAGGGCTCGTCTCTGTCAGATACATGGCAGTGAGATGGGTCTGGGCGCAAGGGTGGTCGCTGTGTCAGTCACGCTGCGGACTGGAGCAGAGGCTGGTCTCTGGCTGTTGCACCTGGCAGGTGTGTGTGATGGGCACCTGTCTAAAGGGCTCAGTGATGCTCAGAGAGGAACAAGGCTGGTCCCCGCCTGTGTCAGTCACACTGGGGTTTGATGGGGGTGGGCTCTGCCTGTGTCTGTCACACTGGGGGTGTGATGGGGGTGGGCTCTGCCTGTGTCTGTCACACTGGGGGTGATGGGGTGGGTCCTGCCTGCCTCAGTGACACTGGGGGTGGTCTCTGCCTGTGTCAGTCACACTGAAGGGTGTGATGGGGGTGGTCCATGCCTGGATCAATCACACTGAGGGGCGGTCCCTCCAGTGTCCGTCACGTTGGGGCTGTATCAGCGGCTCTGGGGGAATAACAGAGATCGATCTCAGGATTTCAGTCACGCTTTGGAGATGACGGGCTGGTCTGTGACTGTGTCATTCACACTGGGGTTGGGACAGAGGCTGGTCCCTGTCAGTGCCCGTCCCATGAGGGTGTCACGGGGCGGTCTGTGGTTGTGTCGGTAACGCAGGAGGTGTGAGGGGGCTGTTTTTGGCAGTATCAGTCACTCCGGAGGCGTGATAGCGCTGTGTCAGTCACAGTGGTAAGAGGAGCGACCGGCCCCCACCCCTTTACGCAGCGATTGGTGGCTATCGCTGCCAGTCAAGCGATCTGCGCCCGGCGATTGGTCCGTCAGAAAAAGGGCGGGACATCGGCGCTCACCCAGCGACGGCGGGCCGTTGCCCACTCGCCGCCGATGGTCCCGGCAGAACATGGCGGCCGCCGGCCGGGCCGGACATTGAGTGCCGCTACCCTCGTTCCGCCCGCGGGGCCGAGGCCGCCGGGGACAGCGCCCGGCCCGGCCGTCCGCGCACGGTGAGGGGATGCTGAGGGCGGAGGGGTGTGCGAGCCGAGCAGAGGGCGGGGAGAGCACTCCGGCTGTGCTTGGCCATGCTGGCCGGGGGAGAGGGCGGGCAGCGGGGAACAAAGGGCTGCGGGCTGCCTGGGAGCTGGGCTCGGGTGGAGCAGCTGAGGGCAGGGATGCGCCTGCAGGTCTCTTTTAAAGCAAAATATGTATGTATATTAAAAATAGACCGACAAACCCACCAAAGTTGCAGAGTGCGTACTTTCCTTGGGCACGGCTCGAAGCGTCCTGCGTGTGGTTTATGGGACTGCGCAGAGAAGAGCCTTCGTGCTCAGTGTAGGTCTGAGTCTGTTATCAAAGGCGTTCCTGAGTCGCCCTAATAATGCGAGAGTTACATCCCTGGAGGTGCCCCAGGCCGTGGGTTGGCCCTGGGCAGCCTGAGCTGGTCCCCAGCCCGTGGGGGGATCATTAAGGTCCTTCCAACCTAAGCTGTTCTATGGTCTGATAACAGTACCTCACACTGGCTGTGCTTAGGGCTTGTTTTCTCCGTGTGCTCTTCTCATCTGGATGTCTTGTTTGTGAGATGCCATCTGAGTGGGACCCAAAGACCTGGAAGATCCTAAAGAGAGGGCTTTGTGGAAAAGCATCTTGTAATAGCAGGCTTTAGGTAGTGGAGTGGTGCCTGGGATTTGAGAGAGGACAGCATCACCTCATGAGCCTTCTTTGAACTGTGCTGCAGAACTTTGTACTGCCCTCTGTCCCTTTCTGTGGTTGGAGCGTGTTGCATGTGTTATAATCAGCTTTGGTAGGAGATCTGCCTCCTTCCCCTTGATTAGGGCTTATTTATTTGTGCTGGAATAATATCAAGGCTGATGGAAAATGCTTGGAATGTAGAATTTAATGAAATTGTGTGCTCATAAATAGCGCATATGAAGTAGGAGGCAAGCTGTGTTTTAAAATACCTCATTATTAGGAGTAAAATATAAAAATAAGAACTTGGTAGAGCCAAGCATATTAGTCTGAAGACCAGTATGCATGTGATAAGACCTCTGAATTTCATTTTTCATGTTGTTCTTTTTGCTTTAGATTTAAAGGGAAACATTAGCAGATAGGCCTGTTCTTCATTACTGAAAACAAGAGGCTAGTATGAAGATTGTGCTCATAAATTGTTTGAGCATATTGATATTTCTGTGGGTGTAAGTGTTGAGGTGTGTATGTGCTGGTTGTATTACCTGACACAGAAGTTCTCTTCTGTCTTATCTCGGACTAATAGCAGGAAAAAGAGTCTACTTTATAGTGTTATTCTGGGTCTTCAGCCTAACCTATTCGTTATGATTAGTAGTAATACCTAGGTCGTAACACTTCAAAAGTATTTTTAATTAAATTAGCATCTTAATGGAATTCTTGTTTCTTTTCTAAGGAAGCTGATGTGAAAGAAACCAACTATGAAGGATCTGAGGAGAATTCGTACTGCCTGTTTCCACAATTACTAACAAGTAAGTGCTACATGATACCATAAGTTGGAGATGGACTTGGTTTCTATTAATGACAGTTCTCAGACAGGTGAGGAATACTTGAATAATTCCAAACAAATATCAGAGATTATGGACTGCTATCTGCTCCTAGGTGCTTTCCTGCTGCACCTTCAGATTGAGAAGAAATTCTCATAGAACTGATGGAGTTGACCTTAGAAACCTGCAACTGGAAGTGTGATTCAACCACTGCTGGGGTTTTTGTCACCTTCAAACCTGCGTTGTGAATATGAACATTTGGAGTGCTGTTACTCTGAAGAACCTCAAGGAGGGGTAAGCGAGGGTGGTCATTCTTCTTAATCAAAGCATTCTACTTCTTTGTAGTAGGGCCTGGAAGGTGGAGATGCTTTGACTTACAGAACCAATAGGTGTGATGTCTGTTTGCAGGATGCAAGTCGTTTGCAGAAACACAAGCAAACTCACCTTGTGGAAAACCCACGTTGATGTCTTGCCTGAGTCAAAGAGTTCTTTCATGTGGCAAATCTGTGAATTAATTCTAGTGTCAGGCCATGCAGCCATCCAGAGTGTTACATGGGTTTCATTTACACGGCTGATACCTGGAGGCACTTGTGAAATATGCACAAGGTAGAGTGTTAAAGATTTTAGGCTAGGAATCCATAGTCTCAAGCACACAGTACAGTGAGAACAACGTTTATCAGCAGTGCTGAGATGACCATAAACCTAAAAAAGGTGTAAGCCATACATCTGTCCAACATGTGGCAAAGGTTTTTGTAAGCCTATTAACCTGTTTTCCCAACACAAGACGATCCACTGACTAGAGAAACCTCATGAATGTCAGTTGGGAAGTCCTTTGTCCAGTTGAAATGAGCGCTGATGAGCAGAGAGGAGGGTTGTGTGCTTGTCTTGGAGATGGGGAGGAGGTGTGGGAGTTTGTGTTCCTGGGCCTAGGTAGAAGAAAGCCTTTGCTGCCCAACTACTGCATTACAGTAAGAAATATTTAAGACTTCAAATTCAGAAAAAACGAGTGTCTTCCTAGTTGCAGGAGTTGGAATGGCAGCAGTTTCTCTGCAAGGTTCTCCATGTTATGCAGCATGTGAGTTTGTCATAGATTCAAGAACCATTATTAAGGGGAAGTTGCCTATTTTTTTTTTTTTTTTTAAGTGCCTAGCCTAAAGAAATAAAACTGTCACTTGCGTGTACAAAAGTAGATGACTTTTTTGTGAGGGAAGTGGTTAGATTTCTTTTCCTTGGCTCTGCATCCTAGAAGAATAGTTTCTGGTTTCATGAGATTTTTCTAGATGGCAAAACTTACTAGCATGCAAATATGGCATGTAATGTACATTCTTGGTTGTTTTTAATTTGAGTTCTGTATCTGTTGTTAATTGTATATACCCATTTTGGAAACGTGTGAGCTCAGTTAAGAAAATACACCGAGATGGCTGACCAGAGTGCAGAATAACATTGAAAGCAGCAGTGATCTCTGCAAGATTACCTGGTGATGCTGGAGAGTGATTATGACTGCAGGGAGCACGGTGCTGGTCAGTACAGTAAGTAGGGGATGAATGCATAATAGCTAGGGGAGCTGGGTCAGGAGCTGCTGCTGGCTGTGGAAGAGAAGCTTTTGGGAGGTTTGTGGCGGGGCTTCGTGGGGTCTGGAGTTTGGATTCCTCGTGTTGGATAGTAATGATGCTGATCGTAAGAATGGGCCATTGGGAGTAAAATGTGCTGACATGGAATACAGACAGGAGGGAGGGCTGCAGAGCCTCCAAAAAATTAAAACATGATGATAGGCAAGTGGTGAAAGTTCTTGCTTCACATTGGTGGCTTGTGAATGGGCTGTAAGGGATGGAGGAAAGGAGCCTGGAAATGCCTGCAGACTGCTATCCTCCTGTGGTTTTTAAGAAGACAAATGGAATTTTACAATGTACCAAAGGGGTGCCATTACAGTGATGGAAATAGTGCTCTTGTGAAATGCCCCACTCACTCCTGATTTCAGATTTGCTGCAGGTGTGCTGCTGGTGGTGCTCATGCCTTGCAGGAGGTGAGGAGTAAGTCTTGTTTTCATGCAGGCATTACTAAGCTAGCAAGAACAGTTGATGCTGATGGGTGACATGAGCCATTCTGTTCCAGGCAGTGATTAAAGATCAATTCAGGCTTGTTTTCTGTGTTTGTAGCAGAAGAAAGCACAGTTTGTGTTTCAAATGAAACCGGCCTTTCAGAGATGTGAATGGGGCCTTTCATTTAGAGCGTGTAGCTATACTGCCTTTATAACTACTTAAACATAAACCAAATAGATGAGCATTATATTTACATGTATGCGCATAAATAATTCTGTATTTACATGCTTACATGCATTTGAGTGGATATACATGTGCTTATATTCAGAGAAGTCTTACCCAGACAAAAGCAGCCGTGAGGAGCTGAAGAAACAGGGGGAGTAAAGGGAATATGAAAAATGGATGTTAAGGAGAAAGTAGGGGTATGAGGAGCACACAAGAGATGGGGGAAAATGTGCTTTCTGAGGTTAGATTAGCAATTCAGTGTGTTTTTAAACAAGGTGATTGAAAGCTCCCTGTGGAGCTGTCAGCAGAGGCCACTGGGACAAACCTAGAAATCCTTTGCAAATCCACACCTTGGTATGGCATAAATGAAAGCAGCTTCCTCAGAAGAAAATCTGTGACTCAAACAAGTGTTTCAGTCCAGTTACCATTGCTCGTGTTTTCTACCAGCAAGGGCTGTTTACCCAGAGAATTTGAAGCTGCTGCAGATTGCAGTTCTGGAGGATTCTTATGCTCTGAAGGCCAGGAAGATGATTAGGAAGCTTTCTGGACAGCTCTGTTAGGCCTTTCTCTCTGTGCTGCTGCTTCATATGCTGTCTTTTCTGCATGATACCAGCTGATAGTATCCCAGACATCCTCAGGATGATTGTGAGAATGCTGTGATAGGATGGTAGACCAAAAGTGTTCCAGAACTTCCCAAACCCACCTTTCGCACAGCTGTGTTCCTTCCATAGGCCTTCAGTACTTCCTTCTATTGCTGCCAAGTTTGGCAGTTTGACACCATCCCTTGATCTTGTTGCATTTCTTAACCACTTACTGAAAGGCAGTACCTTGTAACTGGTTCTGATTTAGCAAGGTAAAAATGATTGTGAGTCTTTGGATGAAGACTTGTGGGGAGATACATGCAGGATGTTGTCTAACGTGTTTGTTTGCACCTTGGAGCTCTGAAGGTTTCTTGTCTTTAAGTGAGTTTAAAGTGTATGTTATTAAACAGTTTACAGTTAGGAGGCTGAATTATGACAGAAGATTTAACCTTTTTCAACATAGTTTGTGTGTATTCTAAATGTTGAATATATAATCTGCATCTACGACGTAGATGATTTTTTTTCTCCTTCTGCATGAATAATGGCCTGTCCCTTTATTTTAATAATAATTAAAACAACTTCACTGTGTTAATTTTATCTTCTGTAAATATCAGAAAATCACTGATGAAATATGTGTTTTATTTTGTAGGAAGGGCTTGTAAAGTGAGCTGAGGATGAGATGGGTTTACCACAAAAGTCTTGGCGCTCTCGGTATCTACATCATCAGTGAGCTGCAGATAAACACAGCACACACATCAGAGGATGGATGCGGAGGTGGACTGGGACTCTGAAAATAGCACTTGTGATACAGGTGAGGAGCTGTCAAATGATTCCAGAAAGAGCACTAAGGAGGTGGGCTACAAGTCTTGCCTCCAGGAGGAGGTGGGCATGAATTACTCACAGACGCTCAGTCCTTGTCGCAACTCTGCAGGACCATCAGATAAACAGGAACTTTCTACAGAGTTGCAGCGTGAAGACAAAGAAATCTATCAGACCTATTACCAGAAACAAGGTGAGAGTACAGCTGGCATATTTGTCCCCTCCAGTACCAACTTGGACCTGCGGCACGAAGATAAAACCTCGCAGCGTGGTTCCTCTGAGCACTCCAAGAGATCACGGAGAAGAGCACGTGGTGATAATGAAAATGCCCTTCTTGGTGGTGTGTTTGATGCAGAGCCTGCATCTGGGAAGGCCTTGTCCTGTCGGTGCAAGAAGTGCGGTGCCTCTTTCCAGGGGCCGAGTGAGCTGCAGCAGCATAAGAGGACTCACCTCGTGGAAAACTCGTACCGCTGTCCTGTCTGTGCCAAAGAGTTCTTCCGTGCAGCAAACTTACGCATGCACAAGCTCATTCATAACAGTGACAGGCCACACAAGTGTCCAGAGTGTGACAAGGGTTTCATTCGCACGGCTGATGTCTGGAGGCACCTCCGCAATGTGCACAAGATAGAGCGCTCCATGGTGATCTTAGGCAACGGCATGGCTAGGAACCCGTGGTCGATAGTGCACCGTAACCAGCACACTGTTGAGTACACCGATCAGCCTTGTGCAGACAACCACAAGGCTGAGGAAGAAGACTGTAAGCCTTACGCCTGCCCAACGTGTGGCAAAGGTTTCGATAAGCCAAACCTGCTTTCCAAACACAAAGTGATCCACCGGCAGGAGAAGCCCTATAAGTGTCAGGAATGTGGCATGGCGTTTGTCCAGCTGCTCAGGCTGAAAAGACACCAGCAGACTCACTCTGGGGTGCGTCCCTTCTATTGTGAGGAGTGTGGAGGGACGTTCACAAGGCTGGCCTCGCTCCAGCGCCACCAGCGCATCCACACCGGAGAGAAGCCCTACTCTTGTGATTACTGTGGGCATTCCTTCACCGAGTCAGGTACCCTACGGAGGCACGAGCGCACACACAAGTTGGACAAATCTTAACTCTTTGTGATTGTAGGCTCTCAGGTTCTTACCTGAAGAAGCTTGAGAAAAGCACTCCACTGCATGCACTACAGCCAGTCCAGATTCACATCCCAGCAGCGGGAAGCACAGGAACTTGTGCTGGTAGAGCTTGCACTTTGCTGGTTTTAAACTGCCTTTGTGTGAATAATTTACTGAATTACCACTGAGTAATGAAATGTGAGACTTGTGAAGACTGAAATAGCTCACATGTGTTAGCATTGTGTCACTAGTGTGAATGGGAGGTGCATCTGCTTGAGCTTTTTGCAGGGATGCATGGGCTGTGGGAATTTTCTCTGCAGTCCTGGTCACTGGACAAATTGGCTCTGCCCTCTGGAGTGTGATGACTGGTTGGCAGTGGCTTTGGAGATCTGTTGTTGCAGGTCTTTAAGTCAGAACAGTCCATAGTCATCCGTGTATCTGTTCTTACATTCTGCTGAGGTTTTCGTTCCATTATGCATTTTTATTTGGAAGAGAAGTATCACGTTTGTTATTTAAAAACAAAACAAAAAACAACCCACCCACAAAACAATTCCTTAATAAACGCAACAGTTGTCAGCTGTATTGCATAAATGTTTCTATTTAAAGGAGCACCAGTTCCTTACACATCATTATGTTATTTGTTAATGGACTGTTAGTAAGAGCTTTGTTTTTGCTATGAGGTTGCACATTCCTGAGGTGAGGCATTTAAATACATTCATGTTTATGATGGAACCGTGCACTCAAAATCTGTCCAACTGAGTACTGCGGTAGCAAATGTTGGAGAATACAAAATGCAGAGGGCAGGAGAAACACCCAGCTTAAGCCACCTTTGCTGCTTGTTGCATGGGAGCCTCCTTCATTTAAACCTTTTGGGAATTAAGGAAGCTTCTCCAAACTAAACCAAGTTTTTCGCTCTGTGACATGTCTGTGTGCTACTCAGAGTGGCTGCTAGACTCTTCACTTTCATCTAGGTGCAGATGGTCAGTGAAGAAAAATATCTACTGTGACTGCAGGTTCAGGTAGATGTTGCCAAATTCTACGGGAGTGTGACTTTGGAAGAGGTATGTATTGCCACTGTTATGGTAATGGGGTTTTAACTTTGAAGCATAATCATGATGCTTACAATAGCCTCTTGTTAACTACTGTGGTAGAAGCATCCAGTTTGCCCTTAAGTGCCAGCTCAGATTTCCTTTCTGTCAGAAAGCTTTGCTTCCTTTCCCTGCCAGCTGCTGTGATTTCACTAGTTTCTGTCTAATGCATTCTGCCTTTTCAGCAGGAGGCTGTGCAGCAGAGTGAAAGTAAAACTTCAGGGTAATGTACCTTTGCATTTACTACCAGACTATTTAATGTAAAGTAGTGGTTGTGCCATTTGCCTGCTTCTTTTGCAGGTAAAAATAGCTTGTATTCTCCTGTGTTTCTGTGCAGATGTGAAGTCCTGAGACTCTGTGTGTAAGAGCTTGGGCTGAATGTGATGCTGTTCCTGGGGTGATGGCTGCTCAGCAGGCGTGCTGCACTCATGCTTGGTACAGCGTTTGATGTGAGGTCCTTGGCTCAGATCAAGCTGAACCACTGTCCTCAGCAGCACTTCAGCTTGACTGCAGAAAAGAGACTAATTCTCTCAGTCTCACTAGTGGATTGCTTTGATTTGATTCATCAAAGGAGTTTCTGGATCAGGGATCAGATCTGCATTCCTGTTCTTAGGAATGTGTTGTGCTGTCTCTGAAATGATGTAATGCAGATACCTGTGCCAAGGCCCTCCATACCATGTACATTTACTAAAGCGGTGAATGAGACTTCTACCCCTGCAGGGAGTGCCAATACTGAAAGGCTTTTCAGAGACAGGCCTCATCTGAGGGCTGCTTCATCTCTGTAAGGAAAGATCTTCAAATGGAAAGAGTTCTGGCTAGAAGGAAACGGTGGGTAAATAACCTGCTGAGAGAGGTGCTGTTGTGTAGGGACTGCGTTGTAGTCTGAAGTGACCCAGAGAGGGGGAGGACAGCAAGGAGCAAAGCCATCCTGGGAGCTGTCACACATTAAGTATACACCCTCCTCTAAACCCATATTGAGTTGTCAGCCACAGTCTCCCCTTTTTCAGCATCTTGCTTTCCCTTGGTATGCTGTGCTCTTGCTGTAGGGGGGTTTGGTATCTAATTAAACTGCACCAGTATGCACAGCTTTATGCTGTTTGACTGTTCTGCTTAGGCAGTTGTGGTAATTAGGAACATCCAGTTATTCTGCTCGTTGGGGTTAGCAGCCGGTGCAATTTGTACCTGTAAAAGCATAATGGTGAAAGTGTTTTGAACAAAGGCCCTTTTAATGGGGAAAGTAAATGGCTGGTGAAATGGAAACTGCTAGGCTTAACTGAAAGCTTATTAAAAAGATACTTGCCTGGAAGGTTGACTTGGATATCGAGTGCTCGGATGTGTGAAGGGAGTAATTAAAATGCGTGATGATTTCTGGGAAAAACCTGTTGAACCCTCTGCAAAGAAACTTCCATAAACTCCTGCACAAGCTGCAGGAAATCCATTGCAACTTAATTCAGCCTGGAGATCATCATTTCTTCCAAGCTTTAATACAAGGGTTTGGAAGTCATCTGACCCTCTCTCAGTGTGAATTGCAGGCTCTTCTCATCACCTGATGGTGTTGGTGAGCAGTGGAATGTAGAAATACAGAGTGGAGCATGACACGCTGGAGAACTGTTTTTATTGTGATTCTTCCCAAGCAGGCCTGCTTCTGTTCAAGCTGCCAGCACAGATGCAAGACCTCAGGTCCTTCTCACTTCTGGATGCATGCAGGTGCACACCTGTTGTATGCTGTGTGTCTGTACAAATGCTTGCTCAACACCACTGCAGTGCATGTGAGTTAAAAGCACAAGAGACTTTCTTTTAAACTGCTCATGGCATACATGAGTAGGTCTGTAGACAGAGTATTTATTCCCAGTGTATTCACTTGAGATACAACAACAGTTTTAAAATAGCTCGGGGATTGAGGAGTCTGTGTAAACACAAATAATATCCTCAATTTTAAGTACATCATTTTCTTCTCAGTTCTGCAAGTGTTACACGGCATCCACTTTGTAATGGTTGCACAGTAATTACTGCAAGAGTGAAAAATAAAGCTAGGCTTCCCCCTGCCTGGCCAGTCCTTAGCAGCTATGATAATATCACAATACAAGCACATTTGTATGTTGTTTACAGATATATTTATGTGTCTGCAATGTTGTAGCACAGCCAGGTGGGACCACGGCTAACCTCTGCAGCAGGTTTTCTTACCACTCCAAAGAAGAGCAAAAAATCTGGGATGTGGCCTCAGAGGGTGCGTGATGCTGGCAGCAATGTTGTTGAGGCCCAACCTGCTACATCAAGTGAAAGCAAACTGGAAACAAGGGTATCTCTCACTTTGGGTATGCCTCCACAAACTGATGTGCTTTCTTGCCCCTGTTGAGACAGAAGTCAGCCAGCTCTGATCAAGGAGAAGCCTGCCCTGATTTGTTTTGCTCACACTTAGAGAAGGAGAAGCAAATTTGGGGTGCATTGTGCGCTCGCCTGTCTTTTCACCTGACTTTCTTTTAAATACACAGATTGCTATAATTGCATTTTTGCTTCTCTCACCACAAAACACCACTGAGGAAGAGTTTATAGTGTCTTCTCTGTCATGTGTTGTTGCTGGATGAGTGGGTACAGACGTATAAAACATGACCACAACCCCCAGCAGTGATTTGAGCATTTGCTTTCCTTATTCTTCCAGACTGTTCCCAGGTTCCTCCCAGAAGCAGTTGTATGCAGGGGGTTGGACAGGCTGAAGCAGAGTCATGCAGACACTGCAGAAGTATCTTCATCTTGCTTATGTGTAGGGCAAGGAGATGCTCATCCTAAAACCACAGTGAATACTTTACTTCCAGAAGGTCAGTGTTAAACCCTGGGTATAGTCAGTCTTGGAAGTGCATGAGACTAAAATCCTGGGATGTTCTGGCTTGAAAAACATCAAGAATTTTCTTACGCTGTTGTATGTGGCCAGCTGAGCTCTGTGGAGGAGCAAGTATGGATGCTCCAAAGCTGGTTTCCAACCAGAGGTTCTCTTTCTGTGCCCAAGATACCCAGGTGCAGCTGACTTGGGAAGTAAGTGATGCTGGATGGTGAGAGACAGCATGGGATGGGCTGCAGTTCCATTGTGGATCTGCTCCCAGGTTGCTGGAAAGATCTTGCAGGCAGGTGCTGCAAACCTGAAAATGGGGCTCTGAAGCCCTTTGTGGGCAGGGGACCTAGCTGGCAAAAAGCTGCTTTTGTCACTAGTGAAACTGGGTAAACCAGATATTGACCAGTATGTCTCTTTGCTATCCTGTGGAAAACCCTTGGGTTCCAGCTTTTGAGGAGACAGCAATAACTAATAATTAATTATCAAAACAGAAGGAATAAATAAATCAAAAGAAGAAGCACCAAAATTGCTTCTTGCCCTTTTGTTCTTCTCAGCAAGCTGGTGAGAACAGGATGTTCCCAGCAGTAACTTTTAATTATTTCACCATTGCACATCTCTTTTATGCTGCAAGTTAGAAATGTCAGTTTAATTTTCTTTTAATTGCCTCAGCTACCAGGTACTTGAGAAAAGCCATTTTCTCCAACCCTCTGCTCCCTGTTCTTGGCCTGAGAGAGGAGCTTATTGATGTGAAAACACTCAGTGCTTTGGGAAGGGGCTGTCCCAGGAGGAGAGTGAAGAGTGCAAATATTTTGCTTGTAATTACTGGACCTGGTGTGCTGTAGGTGAGAGAGCTGTTCAAAGCACTGCTCAGTGGCAGCAGAGAGAGAGGAGGTTTCAGTGTGGTTTTCCACACCTATTCCAGTGTGGGATTTAAACCTAGTAGTCAGGGTTCTCCCCGCCCCATGCAAAGCACATGGTGGCAAGAGCCACTGTCGTTAATTCCAGAGGCCCTGATGCTCTGCCGGGTTTCAGGTCCAGTGGTTGTTTCTCATCTTGACTCACATGTTGCAATGCCAGGTGAGCAGCAGAAGCCTCTCCAGGATGGCTTAGCAAAGGAAAAAAAGCTTTGTATTATTGCAGAATCATGCAGTATAAAAAGCCCCAATCTTAATAAAGGTCACCTGGCTGCCCAGAGCATTTCCAGAGAAATAAAAATAGCAGGAGGATGAGAAAGCAGCGAGGACTTGTGGGAGCTGTGACAGCACTGGTGGGAAAGTTGCCCCACAGGCTCAGCAGGAAAGTGCCCAGCGTGCCACCAGCAGAACGAATCAGGACTGATGCTTTGCTTATATTTTCACTCATTCTCTTTGCAGCTTTGCCAGCAGCTCCGCAGGCTCTGCCCTGCGCCATGTGAAGCAGCTCTGGGAGCTCGTGCTGGAGGAAAGCTCCTACGCTGCTGCAAGGCAGGAGATGTGGGAGGAGGGCAGGTGAGCACCACTTCTCAGTGTGCAGCAACACTGCTTTTCCCTTTTTCATCTCTATGGACAGCGGTTGGCCCTCTCCATGCGCATCAGAAAGTCCCATGTAGGGCTGGATTGGAGCCCATCTCCTTTGCCATCTCCAGGCTGTAGTTGGTGCCATCGAGGCAGGGGACCTCAAAATGTGTCCCCTGGCAGTGCTGTCACCCAGCTGGGAGCTGGGTCCTGCCAGCACCGGGAAGGGTGTCAGGCTGGGGAGAGCTCTAGGCATTGTAAAAGGTAATTTTTATGAGGGTTCCTTCCCTTTAGTGCCTTTGAAATAAGGGATAAACTTGTAATTAAGGAAAAATGCAGCAACCTGCCCTCCCTGCTCGGATCTGTGAACAACATGCTGTGGAGTGATTTCTAACTGCAGCAGAGATCTATGCTGAAGATGCAGCCAAGGGAAAAAAAAGCCTTGTAATGTGCCATCTACATTATAAACAACAAAAAACAACCTCAAAGCCCTGCATCCTGGGCAAGAAAACAGTGATTTAAGAAGATGCCACAAAATCTCAGGGCTGTATCTTACAGTTTACAACCTTGCAGCAAAACCATCTGACATAATCTATAGAATACCAGCCAGGTATCTCTGTGCATGGCTGTTGTTCTGCTGGTGCGACAATGCTGGGTTGTTTGGTTTTTTTTGCTTCTATGCCTCTTCCTTTTTCTTGACCAATTGCAGCTGTCCTGAGGTCAATCCCAGTCCCAGTTGTGGACTGGGTTGCTCTTGCCAGCTTGTGGTTTGTGGGGTGGTGAAGGCGATGCATGGCCTCGCAGCATTTTTCTGTTCTCTCCCCAAGGGAACCTAACTCAGTTGTGTGCAAGGGTGAAGCTGAAATCTGTTTTGCATGGCTCTCCTGCAATGCTCACTTAAAATATGCTTCCCTTGCAGGTATTGCTGGCTGCAAACTACAGTATTTTCTGAAATTAACACAAAAAGAATCACATCCAGAACCAGCACATCAGATGCTTCCCCCCCTTCTCCCCACCCGTATTCATCAGTTCAGGAGGCTGTGATGCCAAGTGGCAACTCCGTATGGGTAAATACGAATTTGAATGGCTGTCAGGGGAGGATCAGCACCTAGCGATGCCTTCAGGGTGCAGCAGCCTGATGTATTACAGACAGCCAACGAGACTGACTTTGCCTGTCAGTGTGACGAAGAGGCAATGCTCTGCTGTAAGGCAGGGAATAGGGCAAGCAGCCAGGACACAGAGCCCCAGGGAGCTTCGAAGGGAACTGAATGTGGGCTGAAATCCTCATCCCTGCAGCACGTGGATAAGACATTTGGTTCTTTGTGATGGCTGCTCTTTATGTGGTCCCTGAATGACCCTGAATGGTGGGGTTCTTCCTTTCCTGCTGTGCACCTTCCCCTCTTGCATCATCAGGCTGGTACTCATTCTCCCCACCATTCTCCAGCAATTAATGCTAGATGTAACATCACCATGCTGTTTCCTTCAGAAATAGTCTACCAGGATGGGAAAGAAGCCATCTAGATCCATGCAGAAGCCTGTCACCCTGACTTTCGGCCTGACTTTGGGAATGGTCTCTGCCCCCAGGAAAGCAGCTGGGAATAAGAACCCACATCCCTCTGGTGTCTGGCTGTAGGGACCTCATCAATCTGTTCCCATGTGACCTTCTGTGGTATTGTTACTCCTGAGTTTTGGGGGTACCATCAGCCTCAGGCTGTGCTTGTGGATGCCAGCTATCAGTATAATATGCTTATAATTATGTGTACAGCCACTTAGAAAAGTGCAGCTTAAAAGCATTTAACAAACAGGGCTGGAAACCCAATTCCTTCTCTAAAGGTTAAACTTATGAACTGCAGATAATTATCGCTGTTCTTCTCCCTTTGGTAACATCTTTTATCTTAAGCTGTAGAAACAATGTGTAAGTGCTTGAAAGGTTAAAATACGTCAGTGTCTCATGGTATGGCTCCTAGTTAAAAAAAAAATAGCATCGTTGTGTTTCCAGATGATTAAATCCAGGCAGGGATTTGGAGGTGGCTGGTGGCACTCGGTGGGTGAATCACTGGGATTGCCACGGGCTTGCCCTAAGGCAGTTCAGGGCATCGATTTGGCTCAAAATCAGCTTGAAGGGGATTGGATGGGACAGAGTCTGATGCGGGATGGAGACAGTCCCCTGCGGGGCTGCGTGGCGGGGTGTCCTGGCCGGCAGCGGGCAGCAGGTGGCATTGTCGCCTAGCGAGTGCTGCTGGTAGTGCTGGGGACAGGGTCAATGTCACCCCCTCGGTAGGCGGCACAGAGCCTCAGGCAGTGCTGGATGCTGGCCTGTAGGGATGTTCCGTGGCTCTGGCTCCTTCTTGCAGCCGGCACGGTGAGTGTGGGGGTGAGCAGGAGTACCCTGTTTCTGCCAGCATCTCACCTGCCATGCCCCAAAAATCCATCCTGTCAGGTGGATAGGGACAGCTGGGGAAACTGAAACAGGGAATGTGCCTGGGAATGGGAACCATGAAGCTGCTGTCCCCACCTCACGTCCCCCAGAGGGGCCACAGGGCACCATGGGCTGTACCCCAGGACTTTGTGCGGCTGTGTGCCCTATCTGATGGGATGTGAGCCAATGCTGGAGCTGCTTTTCCTCCTTCTCTCCAAGCTGCTCTACTGCATCTTTTATCAGGCAGGGCTGCTGAGCTCAGGGAAACAGGAGCTGCTTGTGGTTGGGGCAGGCTCCTGAGGAGTTCTGCTGACTCCTTAGGATAACAACAACATCGGTAGTGTGGGAGATTTTGGGTGCCAGTGCTGTTGGCTGCTATATCTCACCATGGGCATTGTGATGAAGAAGCCAGGTAGTGTTAGAAAATTATTTTTGGGTTGCTGGCTGCTGTGCTGCTGGTCCCCTTGGCCTCCCCATTGGCTGACTGCAGCATGTTTGGGGTCAAGGTATTCCTGAGGAGATGGACACTGAGTCACGTTTACCTGGGTTGTCCTCTGCTCCCTTGATCAAAGGCTTCAAATTGGCACAAGTCCACGCTGGTGCTGAAACCCAAAGGTGTTTCTTCCAGCTGTGCACTCCTGATTCAGCGTTTCAGTTGCCAGCACTTTATAGCACAGTGAGATAACTACAAGACACAGTGGGGCACTCCTCTTGGCCAGGCATCTCCTGATCAGCACAACACAGAGATAGTGGCTGTGCACTCTCAGCACGCTGGGGATAGAAGTAGGGTCAGCAAAAGGATGTGTGGGTCATGGAGGTGGGAAGGGGTCCAGCCCCAAATGCTGTGCTTTGCACCCAGGGGGAACGTCCCAGCAGGGAAGGCTTTGCAGCAGGAATGTCTGAGAAGTTGGAAAGGGGTCTCTCTCAAGGGGGAAATTTGGGTGGAGGAGGAAAAATTTCTCCTCAGAAAGAGTGGTGAGGCATTGGCACAGGCTGCCCAGGGTGGTGGAGGAGTCACCATCTCTGGAGGTGTTACAGAACCGTGGAGATGTGACACTGAGGGATGTGGTCACTGGGAATGGTGGGGGCCTGCTGAGAGATCTAGAGATAAAAGTATGGCAAAGAAACACCTGGACAGTGCTCTCAGACATACAGTCTGAATTTTGGGTGGTCCCTTGTGAAGCCAGGAGCTGGACTTCAGGCTGGCAGAGCCCTTCCCTTGTAGCAGAGGTAGGGAACGTGCAGGCTGTGCAGCCAGGAAGAGGCCAGTGTCAGCTCACAGCAGGTGATGACTATCTCCTGGACGTTGCCTGTGCCACGTAACCCTGCTGGGGGACGGAGTGCTGCTAATGCTATAAATCCCCATTGGTCTCTGGTGTCAATAGGCCTTATCTCTGAAAGAGAGAGTCTCGTTAGCAGGGAATGAACTTTGACGCCTGTGGTGTGCTGTTGAAACCTGCCTTGAGGTTCTTTATGCCTAAATGAAATGGGAGGGTTTGTGAGGAAAACCGAGCAGGCAGTGCTCTGGGAGCAAGATGAGCACCCACCAACCTCTAGAGGCTGCATCCAAGCCTGCAAAGTGTTGTGCAGAACCTGTTTGTGCCTTTAGTTAACTAATGTCTGTCTCTGTGCTCCTAGTGGGCCCTCTGCAGCAAGAACAGCTGCTGGCTCGTGGCCTGGGAAGGGCGAGGCGTCCATTTTGCACCCCATCTGCTTGTGAGGAATACTGGCCTGCAACCAGGCCTCCCTGTGCAGCTGCTTCCCTGCACTGTTTCAGGAAAAACAGCCCATTTCTGCCATGCTCTGTGCTCCTTCCTGTGGTGTGGGCTGCTAAGGGACCACGGAGGTGTCCCTCCAGGTGTGACATGTCCACTAGGGCTTCCCCTGCCAGCCCGCTCCCCAGGAGCTGTGGTTAGCAGCAGTGTGCCAGCAGGCTCACTTGGCAGCCTGTCCTGAGGTTTACAAAGCTGCATGTTGCTTTGTCCCACGTCTTCATCGGACGCTGCAGCAGCAGAGGGCACTCTGTGTCCACGTGCCATCCCTGTGGGCTAGGATGTGGCCTCTCCAGGGTCATTGAGGGATGGAGCAGCTCCCTGACCTCTAGCCCTCTTCCCACAGCAAGACCCAGACTGAGGCGGCAGAAAGATTGGTCCTGATGGAGGAAACGAGGAGGCACTCGGCACAACGAGCAGCAAAAATAGATCAAACAGCAGGAAATCCGCTCTCTGACAGCGCAGGAGAGCCACGCAGTGGAAAGCACTGGTCCAGCAGGAGGTCGTCCAAGACAAACATGGAACTGCTTTGCGGGGCAGCCCAGCTGGCGGGCAGGATGGGCAGGCATTCTGCCTCACTACCATCCCTGCAGACGGTCAGGGAGGAGATATCCCAGCTCATGATAGGGAGAAGGATCCCTTTTCACCACCGCCTGAAGTGATCTGCTGGATTCTTTCCTCAGAATGAGTTTATCAGCCTGAGTAGCATCAGTGCAGAAGCGTAGAATGGCTCAAGTTGGAGGGGACCTTAAAGATCACTGAGCTCCAACCCCCAATGGTTCTGTGTGTCCTCAGGGAGGCTGACTCCAAACACAGCCTGGCTTTGTTCTGTTCCAGTGGAATGTTTGTATGGATGCAAACTTAGACCTAAATGTCCTGCAGGGACATGGTGCTCATAGAAGCAACTGCTCGCCAAAACGAACAGCGAGTTGAATGGTGCCTCTTGCATTGCTGTGGCACTGCCAGCGTTGTTGTGCAGTGGCTTTTCCAAAGTGGAGATCAAAGAAGTAGAGATTGAAGACTGGTGAGTGCTCTTGATGGCATGTTCTACTGGCTTCCATAGGGCAGGAAGGGACAGAGATTGAAATGAGGGGTGTTTTCTTTGTTGGATGAAACTTGGACTTGCCCAAGTGCTCTTGTCTTTGGACAGTGATTTGGCAGTAAGTGTGTAACTGTCCCGTCACCCCTACTTGTCTGCCTTGTTTCTGCAGGCTGGGACAGTAGGTTACAGCTAAAATGTAATTAACTCCAACAGGGGCTGCAGGCTTTTCATCTTCAGGCTGTACCTGGGGCTTGAGCCAGCCCCAGGCAAGCTGATGCCCAAAGAAGCTGTGGATTGCCCATCCCTGGGGATGCCCAAGGCCACAAATGGGCCCTGGACAGTCTGATCTGGTGGGGGGCAGCCAGCCCATGGCAGGGGATGGGACTGGATGGGCTTTGAAGTCCCTTCCAAACCAACCATTCTGTGATTCTGTGGCTCTATGATTTATAACTTGTGAAGGTGACAGCTCCCTGGGCGTTCACTTGCTTGGAAACCTTTATCAAGAGAGTGAAGGTGATTGTCCGGGCTTGTTGATGTCCTCAGGAGATAGCCTGCAGGGAGGCTTTCTGACAGCCTGCAATCTCAGCTATATTGCCCTTTGACAGCAGCAGAGATAAAGATACATGAACATCCTGCTCAGGAAGCTCCCTCCTCCTCTCGTGTTGTTCCTTGAGTCTGATAAATGCAGGTGAGACCTCTGCTCACCGCAGGCAGCCTGCTGTTTTGCTTCCAGCAAGCAGTTGTGCTTTGTCTTGGCAGCAGTTTGAGTTTGGATTATTTAGTGTCCATTTGTCCCCTGCCTTGGGACAGTCCCTTGTGGTGGTTAGGAATCTTCTGACTTTCAGCACAAGCGCATCTGTGGCCGGCTTCTTGCTCATTTGTTCTTGAGCCAGAGGACAGTGCTGGCACAAACAGCTCTTCTCCCTGCCTGCACTCCTCGATGTTGATTCGAAATAGTCTTTCTTTGGCCTTGGGTTTCAGAGGGATGCGTTTCAAAACCAGAAATAAATGGGCTTGAAATATTTCCCATAATTTTTTTTTGCGAAATCTTGACCCTCTGATAGTAAGATTAGAAGAAAGATAACAAAATCAGCATTCAGGCTAGGACAACTGTTGTTAAGTAGACAACCCACTGAAGTCAGTGCTTCTTGTTTACAATTGAACTCATGAATTTTTAGATATTAATGTATGAGGGATTGAGTAAACAACCATTGTGCCTCTAAGGAATGAGTCCCAGGCTGTCCTGAGCTGGAATACTTTGTACTTTCCTGATTGCCTTCCAAGAATTTCAAATTACTTTGTAACAGAAAAACAAGTCTGCTTCACCAGACGCGTGCGAGGTTCTCGGGACAGCCTTAATTCATCTGCACTGGGATGTGGCTGGTTTTGGGGCACGGCTGTGCATCTGGGTGTGGGATGTTGAGTACGGAGGTGTTCTAGTGAGGTGAGGACAACACTTAGGTCAGCAGAGACGTATGGAACCTATTAAAACTTTGCTGCAGCATGAAGGTCAAGCTGCAGCCCTGTTGGTCCCCATTCCCAGCTTGATGGGTGTGGGGACACACCGTACACTGGCCCATCAATGTGGCTAACGGGAGAGGTGAAGGGACTGCTGGCAATCACATTGCATGTGAGGGTGAGCAGAGGATCCTGCTTCCCTAACCCGTAGCCTTTTGGGAGCAGCTGGGATGCCCTTGGGTATGGGTGCACAGGAGCAGCCCCAAGGACCAGGTGTTGAAAGGATGTGTGGCCAGGGACGTTCCCTGTGGTGCAGACTATGTTATGAACACACAGGCTTTCCAGGCTCGTTGAAGCATTTCTGAACACAGTGGCCCTGGCCACAGACTGTGGTACCTGTGCAAATTGCCCCTCATTTCTGGCCGTTCTACACTCAGTAAGTGCTCTTCAGGAGCAGCCAGACCATTGCCTTCAACCAAAAATAACACTTGGGACCAGAAGCAGGTATGCTTGAACATCCCTGCCCATCTGGGCTGCCCCAGTGTCGTGTAACTTATGTTTGTGCTTTCCTGTGCCGTGCAACAAGTGGGTGCTTTGGTGAAGCAGGCAGGATGGGGCCCTCGCTACCTGGGTTGTGCTTGGGTTTGGTTTCAAAGCCAGCAGCCTGGAGCTGTGGAAAGAGTCATGAATTCGGGTTACCAAACCATCTGCTGGCTGCATTTTAAAAAGCAATTAAAGCAAAACTGTTTCCAGGCCTTCTGTTTGCAAGATGTAGTTTAAAGAGAGCTAGCCAAGCCAGGATTTGCCTGATCCTGCCACAGCTCCAAGCGTGAGTTAATTTGATCTAATCCCTGTGCTGTGAGGTGAGGAGATCCCCACTGCAGAAGTGTGCAGGTAAGCAGGGCTGTTGGCACACAGGTTTCTATAATAATGAAATCCATGAGACTGGCATTTGGATTATTATTTTTATTGCTTCTAATCAGGAATTGTTACATAGGACTTAAAGAAATAAAAAATAGGATGCAAGAACCCTTATGCAACGTGGAGGATGATGAATGCTCCTTGAAGGTAATGGCATCGAGATGCCCTTGCAAAGATGCTCTTGTGTTTGGCTTTGGAGACTTGCAGGAGGCAACCATGGGACATGGACCATGCATCCAACAAGCAGGAGGGAATGCTCAATGCTCTTGTGGTCCCAAGCCCAAGGCCATGCCTCCCGTGGGACGAAAGAAGAAAAAAGCCTCGAGAACAGCACCGAGCTGAGACAGCCACTTATGCAAGAGCTGGCAGTGGGGCTGCCTCCACTGAAAGGCAGCGGGTGCCAGCGGGGCTCTGCATCCTCCTGTTTGCTCAGCAGCTTTCGTGTGGCGGGGGAGCAGGGCGAGGGCACGAGATTCCTGCACACTGAACTCCTCTGTTCCTCTCTGCAGGGTAAACAGGACAAAAAACAAAGCCCCACGCCAGCGCCCGCCTCCAAAGTAGCCTCCTGCCAGCCACCGTGGGATGCGTGGAGGTGATGGGGCCACTTTGAGCCTCTCCAGGGTGATTTTTGGATGCTATTTTCCTGGGTAGGTGAGTGTTGTTCCTGGTGAGGAGTGAGCAGGACAAATGGGGCAAAGCACCCCAGCAAGTATGGATGGATGGGGATCAACAGCCCAGCCCTGCATCCTTGGTGAGCTGAGGATGGGTGTTCCTATGGTGAGCCCAGGCTGGGGGCTGTGCAGATGCTGATCAGATTGAGTGTTCCCTGTGAGGGTTGTACGTGTCCCAGCAGTGCTGAGCCCTATCATAGGTACCATGAGGTACAGGGAGCGAGGAGAGGTGAGCACTGCTCTTCTCCGCAATGAGCTCTGTATCATTTTACTCAAAAAACTGTTCTTCTTTAGTTGCAGTTTCCCTCTGGAGCAATATCCAAGCTCTCTTGTCCCTGTCAGTGACAGAGGGTGATGGGGCTGACCTCAGCCCTTTCCCAATGTGGTATTAGCTAATCCAGCTCTCCAGGGACGCAGCTGTGGGGCTGGTCCCATGCCAGCCCCAGCTCATACCAGCTTTCCTGCATTTCCACAGAACTGTGACTGCAGCACTGCAGCCTTGCGCAGGGCAAGGTGAGAAGGCAGGAAGTTTGAAACACTAGAGAGTTTCCTTTCAAATGGGATTTGCAAAGAAGCCTGTATCTAGCTTGATGCAGCTTGGTTTGCTGTAGGGCTGCCACAAAGCTGCTGGGAAATGTTAAAGCAGCATGGTGGGAAGGTTGTTTTGATGCTGCACATCTGTCCTGTGTTGTCTGTCCTGGTTGTCCATGGAGCCGTGTGAGTGCTGGGGTGCGCACAGGGCTCTGGCTGCACTGGCTTGGAGTAGGGGAGGGATATGGGGGGCTGAGGAGTGGCACAGCCACAGTGCTGATCTCCTCTGTACCCATTGGGATCTCAGCAGGACTTGTCAAGTCTTGGGGCCGCTACCCAACCCTCTCAGCCTGGGGTTTGGTGAGAGCCAGCTTTCTTGTGAGATTCCCACCCTGGGCTTGATGGGTTGGAAATACTGCAAGAGCAGCCCTTTTTTTGTTATTTTTGTTTTTATTCTCCTGATGTTTGTCTCTTTCCATTTCCATCCCTGGCCAAGGCAAGCAATGCCAAGACATAAGAGGCAGGCACACCCAGCAGGGTTTGTGGGGGGGAGAGCAAGTGCCCTTAACCCACAGGAAAAGGGAAACAGAAGGGAAAACCCATAGCTGGCACCAAGGAGGCTTAACCCATGGTCTGTTCTGTCCAGACATGGGGAGTGACACGGTGACCACCAGGATGCAAAGCCCCAGGGATGTGTCTTGGCACCGTACGGGACAACACCAGGGGTCTCATGGCACAGACCTTCCCCCTCCCCCTTCTTCACCCCACTTTGAGCTGCAATATGGTCACAAGCTGCATTAGCAGGAAGGGATCAAGCACTCAAAAGCAGCGCGGGATCAAAGCTTTCTAAACACTCAGGGCATTTGGCTTGGGAGGTTTTGTTCCATCTATTTATAGCGGTGGGGCCAAGCGAGTTCAGAGTTGGAGGCAAACTTTTCCGAAGCTGGGGGACATTTGGAGCGGGAGAGGGAAAGGGAACTTGGCCAGGCCCATCTTCAACATGCATTGACTCCTTCCCTTAGGTATGTGTTGCTCTCCATGACACACTAACAACAAGCCCGCATAGCAGAGCCTGGCTGAGGCTGCAAAGATTGAAAGCAAAAATGTGAATTGGCTGGGAACGGGAACATGAAATAGAGAGTTTCCAAATAGCGAAGCCATAGTGTTTGAAAGTGAAAATTGTTTCCTTACCAACGTGTTTTCACCCTTGGGTCAACATTCTTCAATCACAAGTATGCTCGTGTTGTTTTCCAGGTGAAAGCTGGCAAGGATTCCAGGGCAAAAAAAGGCTAAGTGCATCCTGAAGCTTATGCTATGCTCATAAATGGAAAGGAGGGATCTTCTCATCTACAAGAAGAAATCGTTGTGGTGTAACTGAAGAACATGTTGGTTTTCTGTGCTACTCCCTGTAGGCAAAATCAGGTTTTAACTGCAAGCAAGCAAACCAAAGAGCTAACAGGTGAGATTGTGCAACATCCAAACTATCGCCCTTACAGGGCACTCAGGCAATAGCTGGGGTTTTCCTGCATCTACCAAGTGAGTGGTGCTAGCAGTGTTTAATATTGAGTAATCCTTCGGGGAGTGCTGCATGATCTGTGGTGGTTTTAGAGAGAGAATTCTGTGAGCTGAGAGATGGGAGCGACAGTAGTGATACAAAGCTCATTGATATAGAACACAAGGTCCTTGGGCCAGAGGAGCAATAGCATATGTTAAAGTAGGACTTTGATGTCTGGAGGTGGCAGAGAAAGTCGCCACCTGAATGCTGTCATTCAAAAGGCAGGTGCATGTTTAGAATATCAGGGTTATTAAGGTTGGAAAGGGCCACTAAAATCAAGTCCAGCTGCCAACCCATCACCACCACGGCTTTCAGTGCCACATCTATGTATTTCTTGGCGATTCTCATGGCAGTGTCTCTCCGTTGACATTAAAACCTCCAGGTCAGGAGCCACCAAGATGTCTGCTGGATCAGAGGGTGCAGATCTGACCATCCTTATTCCAGAAAATGTCAGCTGGGGGCAAGCACGTTGCAAATGAAGGTGAAGGAGGCATGAGGACTGGAGGTGATTGTCCCTCAGTTTTCCAGCTTGGCAGCGGCAGGCGCTGAGCTCAGTTTCCACCCCTGCCAGGCAGAAGAAAGTGTTCTTCTCCTTTTTGCCTCCTAATGATGATGACAGTGCTCCTCTTGCATTACTGTGCACACTGTGTGTCCTTAATGCTGAAAGACCCTTCTTGTGCTTGGTGCTAGTGTTCCCAGCCCTTGGCTTGGGCAGGGTATGCCAGCCAACTGGACAACCATTCGTTCCTCTGAGAGCCTGTCTGTTCGGCAATTAAGAGACAAAATGCCCACCACTGTGGCTGGAAAAAGGTTTTAATTAAAATCCTTTGGTGTTGGCCTTGACTGGACTATAGAGTGAACAGGAGGAGGGCAGAAGACCAAGGTCATGTCTTGGGTCACCTCAGCAGAGCATCCCTGAGCTGGGGCTGAGCACAAGGCAGGGCCTGGTTTTTAATTGCTTTTTTTTTTTTTCTCTTTGCCCTTGGGTGACCTGTCCAAGGGATGGTCACAATCACATAGGATGCTGCCAACCCAAAGTTGGGACAGGTCCACAGGTCCTTTGTGTCTTAATGAGGAACCATGAATAGGAGTTCACATCACACACAAATGAAAACACCTCACCATTATCCCTAATGAGTGTCACTCTTAAAATGCTTTTGTTATGGGCTTTGCTGGGCTTGTAGAGGTGCCTGGGGCCCTGTCTCCTGACAGGGTGACTGCTGTCACCTTCCCCATCTCCCATGGCCAGCAGAAAGATGACCTGGTAGACCTGTAATATGTGTGGTTCCCCAACTGCTGTATCTACAGATGCTACAGTTTGCTCTGCTGGGGAAAGCCAAGGAAATTCATGGAAGAATCACCAAATAAGCCCCAGGAAGCAGGGAGGGTCTCCGTGTCATCCTGTTTGTTTACGTGGTAGCCAGCTCTCTGGACCTTTTTCTGTTCCCTCTGCTCAGGACAAAATGATGGATTTTCTGGTTTGCATGCCAATGAGTAAGAAAGATTAATCATATTATCACTAAGGTTGGAAAGGACTACTGAGACCATCTAGTCCAACTCCAACCCATACCCACCATGCCCTCTAAGCTATGTCCCTTGTGCCATTGTGGCATGGGAAAGGGTTTTACTTTTCATTTGGTCTCCGGCCTAGAGAAATCAATGGTCTTTTACAAGTTTAAAAACAAAAATATATCCTTTTCTGCTGCTGTTTAAATGCTTCTCTCTTGCCTTAGGCTGTGATTTTGCGCTGTACAGTCTGAGCACCACGGGAGATCCTCAGCCCATGCTGGTGAAGGAGATGGCATCAAGGCAAACTGAGAGCTTGGTGGATGGATTTGGGATGGATTGCTACATGGCACAGCATGAGCCCATCCCTCAGAGCCAGGACCATTCCCCATGTGCGGGATGTGGCGTGCAGGAGAGCAGCAGAGGCATCCCATGTGGGCATCAAGGCAGATCTCTCCACAAGCCCTTTTTGGAGATGAAATCAACATTTTAGGACGGTGATGGGGGGACTTATTTTACTGTTCCCTTAGAAAAATGGCATTTTGGATGCCAAATACAGCAGACAAAGATGCTGGCCACAATTTCCCCCTCCCTTTCAAACCCCTTTCTGCACGGTGACATTTCCCATTTCCAAACCCTGCTCTCGATTTCTTATTCCTTTCTTTTCCCCTCCTATTTCCCCTCCCTCCCTCTGAGCCCCCTGGGACCGGGCCCCTGCCCAGGGAGCCCTGGCCGTGTGCCGATGGCAGCTCCTGGCACAATGAGCACATTCAGCCGGGCACCGCGCAGCGAGGAACAAACCAGGCAAGAGCATGGGACCCCCCCTGACCCCTCATTGCCTCCCCCAAATAGCAGTGCAAGAAACAAAGCGGCTGAGGCCGTGTCCCAGTGCGCCGGCGGAGGCGAACTGGAATCCAGCATCACAAAACCAGCCCTGTGCATGCTCCATTCACGACGCAGGCGCGCGGGTGTCCTGCTCCCCCCTCCCTGCCTCCATCCCCCCAAAATCTCCAAATCTGCCCGGTAACACCGAAGCAGGCTCCCTTTCCCAGGCTTCGGCCAATCTGCGCGCTGCCAAGGCGGCGGTGCAGGGAACGGCATGTTTTCCTTCTCCCTTTCTTCCTTCCGAGCCGCTTGTTTTTCTTCGGGGATGGAGGGGAGGTGCTGGGCTGAGCTCATGGGCTGCCCCCGCTTTAGCACACGTGTCCTTTCCCCATAAAAAAATGATAATAATAATAATAAAAAAGGTTCAAAGGAAGCCTTGTTTTTCACTGCAGGCAGATAAGAGATTTTTTGGGGGGTGGAATAAAGGAGGGAAGGAGAGCAAGGAAAGCAGGCTTTCATCCTCCCCACATCCAACTAGACCAGTATTCTTGCCCGTTCCTCATTGCTTTTCTCCCCCTCCTGTCGGCTTTGCTGTTTTTCCTCCTCTCCAGCTCCTAGCTCACAGCAGCTGCTGTGCTTGCGGGAGGCTGGGCGGCTGTAAATCACTGCGGGATGGTTTATGGTGGCTGCCGGCTCTGCTCCAGCCCGCTGCCCTTCCAGACTGCCTGGGAACAGCCGGTGTTAGTGTGGGGAGAGAGGCTCCAGCCCATCCCCATGCTCCCACCACAGCCCACCCCTGTGTCTTTCCGCAGGTCCCTCAGACCCAGCTGTCGATTGCAGGGTGTCAAATAGTAATGAAACACTGTTGGGGCTTGCCTGTAGATGGGCTTGCCACAGAGAATTGTTGGTGGCTAAAGTGTGAGATGTACACGGAGTGCTGAGGTGTTGGGGTAGTGAGCATTAGATTACAATCCCAGAGCCTGTGTCTGCTATAAGGGCAGGGTGTTTGGCTCTGGGACCCTCTAGCCTCGTGGGATAACTTCTCCTTGCTGCCTGCTTCTATGCACAGCTTTATCTTGATGCAGCAATGTCTGATGGGTGCAGGATGCCAGCTTGCACACCACTATAGGAGCTCTGTATTCAGCTGCAGGGATGCATCCTGCCAAAGCCTGGGTTATCTGTTGGGTGAAGGAAACTGCAGGGAACAAATTGTTTGCTCAGGGCTGTGCCAAGCTTTGGGTGATGGCTGCAAGAGCCTGGTGAGGGCACGATGTCCCTGTGTGCGCTGCTGTGCTCCACCCAGGGAGAGGCTGCACCCAGGCTGCTTGCATAAACTGTTTGTGCAGGGTGAGGAGAGCCATGGCCCAGGGCATTGAACAGCTTGCTGTGCTGGGTCCTTAGTTCCTGTAGCTTTTTTTGCTCCTGTAATCTTCTCTCTGTTTCTCATCCCCTTTCCTTGGGCCTACAGTCATATCAGGACACGTAGAAGCTACAGAGCACATGTGGTGTGTGGATAACCAGTACAGCCCATCACTTCCTAGCTCTGCACACCTGCAGCATGGATCCAGAAGGAGACACAGTCTTGAGATTGACTTGAACATAGGTGGAATAAAGATGCATGCAGCAAGGCCACTGCTCCACTTGCCCATAGGTACAGTTGCTGGGTACCACAGGGCTGACTATGGTGTTAATAGGGAAAGCCTCAGCACTGGCTCACTCAGGCTTCGCTGGGAAATAATACAAAGGCATGGAGTACGGGGTATTCTATTGGATGGTGTAGAATCACAGAATCATTAAAGTGGGAAAGACAACTAAGATCACCTAGTTCAACCATCAGCTCTTCCCCACCATGCCCACTTACCATGACCCTCAGTGCCAGATCTCCATGGTTCTTGAGCACATCCAGTGACAATATAGGATATAGGCACAGTCTACAACTAACTGTAGGAAACATCAGGCAAACCAGCAGCTAAGAGCTGAACTGCATACAGGATGTGGCTGCAGTGTGAGGAAATGTGTTGGTTTTGCTCAAGTCTAAAGTAAAGAAGAGATTGAGCTCAGCCCAGAGGACACCCAGAGCAACAGAAGTGACCTTCCCACTGCTTTTCAGACCTCAGAGGAGATTTCCCTGGCAGAATGACTGGTTTTCTTTTGCAGCAAAGCTAATCTTCCTCTCCCCTCCCCTCCTCCTCCCCCCCCTACCCCTCTGAATACTCTGGCTTTCTGGCTTTGCACCAAATAGCAAAGTCAACATGAAATATACTCTCATTTGCTGGGCCTCCTCTTCCCAGCCATCCTCCAGCAAAGAGGAGTGATGAAGCATCTGCTTTTCTACCCACAGCTCCGTTCCGGGGCTGGGTCTTTGTTTTTCTTCAGAGGTGGTGCCAGGAGCTTACAAACCCTTTCAAACCCACAGTGTAGGGTGAGGAGCAGCACTGCTGGGACGAAGAAACTCACACATTCATCTGCTAGAGCTTTCTTGCACCAGCTCTTCATTTCCATCCCATGGAGGGGACCGCAATGGACCCACAGGATGGCCCTGGGACCAGATGGTGGACGAATGGGCAAATGGACACACCTTCCACACCCAGAATTCAAATACAATTTCTAGATGCCAAAATGCAAAGGTGAGAATGCTGGCATGGGGCTGTGCATGCAAACACATATATTGCCACTTCAGGGCTGCCTTCCATTTAAAATTTACAGTGCAGATTCTTCCACAGCACTTCCAGGATCCTGTGCTTCTTTCCAGGGCTGCAGAGATGACTGGCGAATGGCAGTGTCTCCACAGCCCTTATGCTGCTGTGCATGGGGTGAGGCTTCCCTTTGAGCTGCTGCTTCTCCCCACCACCCTCATCCCTGTGTACTGTGCTATCCGAAGTCTCTTTCCAATGACATTTCCTGCAGTAGTAAAAAAGGGAAAGCACGGTTTGTGTTGCAGCCAAGGATTGTCTGTGCTCTGCAGCTCTACACTGTGCACACAGTTGGGTATGGCAAAGCCCTAGAGCCCCATTCATCCCAGGCACCCTATGCACCCAGATCTCTTGCACACATGACAGCCTGCTCCAAGCCTCGTGGACACATGCCCACTCTCACACTCCCAAGGGAAGCCCCCAAAATGCCAAACATTCAGACCCCCTTTGTATCTTTCTTGTGCCATCTGATTGCAAATCCTGCTTTGCAGCACTGGGGCTCTGCCCACGTGGGACCTGACTCAGTGCACAACGAGATGAAAAACAAATTCCCCTTGAACCTTGCTAGGACCCAGACTGTTACAGTTTTGCATATGTTTATATGGCAGCAGCATCCAATTGCATCTCCAGGGCAGCAGAGCTGTAGAGCAGCTCCTCAGTGATGGGCAGTGTTTTGGCACTGCTTACAGAAAACCCGAATTGCGTCGGATAGGTGTGTGCTAACTGGGGCTAACTGCTGATCTGGGAAGCGAGCTGGGGACCCTTCAGCCCTTCTGCCTGAAGAGGGGGCAGTTCTCACAGCCATCGCTCCCACCAGCATAGGAACTGGGGGAAAAAATCCTTAAAGCAACTTCTTGCATCTCTGCTGCCTTTGGAGCCGGAGCCTTGCAGCAGCAGGGAGCCGGGGATGCTGTTTGTCACAGCCCAGTCTGCATCCAGCAATGGCAATATTGGGCAATGTCAACGCTGGGCGGTGCTGAGCCACATCAGGAAGAAAGCAGCCTTCAGGAGGTGGCATGGGCTGATGTGTGATGCTGTCACTGATCTGGGAGTGTAGCTGTGCCACCAGCACCACCCATGCTGTTCTGCACCAGTGCTGCCTTGCTGCTGGCTGCGAACACCTCACACCCACATTTGTTGCACTGAAAGCAAACACCCAGCCCTCCAGCATCATCAGTGTGACCCTTCTGCAGCAGCGAGGGTGTTTTACACTGAAAGTAAGCCAGGGACACCTGGCAGATCCCACCAGCCCAGGAAACTCAGCCTCCTCAGTCCCTGGCTTATGGGCAAGCTTTGCACCAGCAGCATTGTCCCATGCATGCTCCAGCCCCATTGCAAGCACAGCACTTTGTCCCAGGGCAGCCAAGCTTTACCTTGCTCAAAAGCTGGGATCACCATTAGGACAACTTTGTTAGGTCCAGAGTGTATATGCACAAAGGTCCTCATTACCTTGGGTTAATGATGCTGGATATAGAAGAGCATTCTGAAATGTAGCACCTCTTCCAGGATCTCGGCTGCTACAGCTGATTTCGGCCATGCAGCCACACTGCAGGTTGAGATGAGCTAAAATAAATAGCGATTCCATGCAAGCCTCTGGAGGAGCTGTGCTCGGAGCAGAGTTGGGTGTGAAGCCAGGAATGTCTCAGTGCTGGGCAACCCGTCCCATATATGTGCCTCTGCAAAGAAACCCACCCAGAGGCAAAAATGAATTGCCTGAATGCTCAAGATGTGCTATGGTATAGGCAAAGTGCTGGTCATCATCTCCCTTCTCACCAAAGCCTCAGCACCTGGGGATGGCCAGGCATCCCCCAGCAACACTGCATGCAGGGATCCAAGGATGTAATGAGGTGCTGAAAATGAGGAAGCAGCAGGTGGGACATAAATCACAGCTGGAGGCTCCGCCTGCTCTGCCCTGACCTGTGAGCTGACCTTGGCTGCACTGCTTGAGTTCCTCAAGGCCCTGGCTGGGAAACCCAATGGATAGAGAGCGGGTCAGCAAGGCTGGGCCCAGACTATAAATTTCCTGGAGATGAGGAAGTTGGCTGCACTCACAGACAGTGTGTTTTGAGCTCCGAGCACCATCCTGGTGGGACAGCAATGGGGAGGCAACTGAGGACATCAGTGAGGATGCTGACATCACAGCACAGACCTGTATCTACCTCATTGTGCAGGAACCTCAATGGCTGGGTACTTATCAAAGCCCACAGGGACAGAGGAGCAACTGCACCCCATTCTGTCCCATTATTTACGCAGCCCCAGGGGCAGACTTTACTTTTGCTTCTGCCCCCATCCATCACCTTGCTGTAGCTGAAGCAGTAAAACCAAAAGGAAAGGGATTGTGCCATGCCCTTGCAAGCATGGAGGAGCAGCGTGGATGCGAAAAGCAGGAAGAAACCCTCCTCATTTATATAGAAATACACATATAAATGCTCACATAGACTTTTTCTGGCTGCCTGCCAGAGCTGCATCTGCTCCACAGAATACAGAGCACAAGACCACTCACTATCTGGCTTTTTGATGAGAAGAATTTCAATAATTTTTGGCACGCTCAGGAAGGGGTGGGCTTGCACCATTGGCCTAAAGCTCATGACCATTGAGTGCTATGGGAAAGCACTACCAGATGCATCTCTTCACACAAAATACCTGGAGAAACGTGGGGGCACCTCTACCCACCTCTCTCCGTGGGCTGTGGAGCCCTTTACATCCCTCACCCAATTCTTCCTTCCCAGCCATCCCCACCACACCACTGAGCTTCAAACCCATTTAAGCGAAGCCAAGGAGGGAGAAATACAATTACTGGGTCAGAGATTTATCTCCCGCAGGACACTGTGTCTGCTGAAACAAAACTTGCCATTTGTATGGTCCCAATAATTTCATAAGCAGCCCTGGACGCTGGGATGAGGTATGGCTGTGCCCAAGGAGCTGCCTTCATTTTGATAGATGTGCTGCTCCATCCGTGCCAGCTCTGCTCTGCCCATGCTTTGCCGGGAGCAGCTGGGGAGAGGATCCCAATGTGGGCTTTTACAGAGGAGCAGAGCTGCAGCCCACCTGCACAGCTCTACCCATGCTGCAGGGATGGACACATCCCAGGCTGCTGGGCACTATTTATAGCCAGTGCCTGCTTGCCAAGAAGGTGCCGGGACGCAGAGCAATGTGCATTTCCCTGCCCCGTGAGCCTGTTTTCCAAGGAGCGTGGCTCACGCGGTAAATCAGCACTCAGGTTCCATGAATGGACTCACGTGAGCTGAGCCCCTCAAACAGCCAATGCTGCACTTCTCATAATCTGGGATGCTTCCCAGCAAGCTGTGTCCAGGAGAGGGCAGGGCTGGCCGTGAGCACTCAGGACAACCAGCATTTCAGGAGCCGTGATTTCCAGCCAAGGTCAATCTGAGATGCCCTTTTCCTCCTTGCTTTGGGAGCTGAAACCCCGCTTGCAGGGCCTTGCAGCAGCACAGCTTGTTCCTTTGCTATCCCCAGGCTGTCCCCACTCACACCGTGTTCCTGGTGCTGAGCCATCCTCTGTTGAGAGGCACCATGTGCCCTGGAGAACACAGCTGATGTTAACAGCTGTGAACACATTGCAGTGGGTGAGGGTGCTGCAGCCATACCAAGCACTGGGGGCAGCAGGGGCAGAAACAGGACTGGTGTATCCCCAGCTTAGAGCACCTCCAGCAGCTATCCCCTAGCCAAAGGCATGTTAGCAGATGTCAGAAATCCCCTCCCCACAGGGTGAAGTGCCAAGCTTGGCCAGCAGAAGTGGAGGCAGCAGCTGGGAAGGATGGAGCCACAGAATAGCTTAGGTTGGAAGGGAAGTTAATAACCATAGAGCTCCAACTCCTGCCATGGGCTGGCTGCTCCCCACCAGCTCAGGGCTGCCCAGGGCCCCATCAAGCCTGGCCCTGAAGGAAACTGAGGAGGAGCTGGGTGGGAGGAGATGACCAGAACAACCAGAGAGCTGAGCACTTTCTGAGCAATGCTTTCTCCCAAAACAATATCCTTACCCCTCCTGAGACTCACCTGGCCTTGCCCTGGCAGCAGTCCCTGTTAATGTTTAACCCCGCCAGGCAGGATGGCACACTGGTGCTGGTACAAGCATGGTGTCACTCGGAGGCGTTGTCACCACGAGGGGACACCCATGGATGGTGGGATGTGCATGTCCACTGGCATCAGCACCTGGCTCCCTCAGCTGGGGTGAAGCAGCTTTGTGGGGTCATGCAGGGACAGACAGATATGAGGCTGAGGCTGCGGGATCCACTGCACCAGGGGACCAGCTCTGGGGCTTGGAGCTCCTGGGGGGCTCATGGTGGGGGAGCTGAGCTGTGAGGTGATGCACAGCATGGGCGCTTGGAGTGCTGGTGTGTGCACTGGAGGAAAAATATGGATTCCTTACGAGTAAACAGAGCTGGACTTTATTGCCTTTAAAATGCAACTAGCACAAACAGAGGCAAAAGTGCAAACACTGATAAAGGCTAGAATATTTCATGCTGTGCAAACAACCAGGAGTGGAGGGGTGTGTTGAAACGAAAGGGTGATGGGGAGCGGGGGCACTGTGCTGTGATGCAGAGCCTGGGCTGGTGTGCAGGCAGCCCTGTGTGCCTTGTGCTCCACCTGCAGCTTCCACCCCTGTCTTCTGCTCTTTCTCAGGGCGACCATTGATATGCCGTGCCATAGAAGATGGTGATCCCAGTGCCTGTTCCTAGCACCCATGCTCTGCAGAGCATGTTTTGCAGAGCACCCGGTGCCACGCATAGGAAGCTCTGCTGGCCCCGACGTGACAGCACCAGGAGCTGGATCACCATAGGTGGGGATTAAGGTCTTCAAAGGATGTCCAGACTACTGCCTCCTCTTAGGATTACTGAGCAAGTAGGGAAAAGCTGGCAAAATGGGTCAAAAGGAGAAAAGGAGAGACTGTGGGCCTATCTCTGGGGAACCACCTAGCTTTTGTTTCAGCCCAGCTGCTGGGCTGCCAGCTCCTGATTCTGCTGGGCCTCTCCAGGGGGAGGATTTGGGGAACTGTCCCACTTTGACTCCATTTTCTGGTGGATGAAAGCAGTGCAGGAGCTCCCAGGCAGAGCAGAGGTGACGCACATCAGGGTGACACCAAGGACAATCTGATGACACTCTGACGCTGTCAACCAGGAGGCAATGGGGGATCAGAGAGCCACAGCACAGGCAGGGAAACAGCCAGGTGAAGCAGACAGAGCCGACAGCACCCAAACCCTCTGCCCCAGCGCCACCTGAGTCCCTAGCAGTCAGATGCAAGGGGTGGTCGATGCTGCTGGGTTTTCCAGCTGTACCCACCCCTTGGGCACTAAGAGCTGTCAGGCTGAAAATGCACAGCTCCCCAGGGAGCAGGAGAGCTATTTTGGAGCTTGCATCAGCCCACATTATTTCCGGCAGCTGGCATTAAGCTATGCAGGCATCTGGCCATGCAGGTACGGAGCAGCTCGCTTGGAAACGCTGCTTAGTGATTATCATTTTGCTGAGTTTTCCCACATTTCCATTTCTTCCCTGTGCTGCTGGGATGAGGGGAAATGATTTTCTTCCTGTGCAGGATGGGACGGGGGGGATGTGTGTGTGTGTGTTACGCTCATGGTGTCTCCTCACCCACAGCATTGTGTGCACCCAACTTTGGGCAGAAAGCCCTGCAAGAGGAGATGTCGGTGTCTGGCCACTGGGACAAATGGGTTTGCCTTGGGAACAACCAAAGGAACAACCCCAGCTTCCTGCACACCTGCACAGAGGATGGCTCCATGCCCTTCTGCCCTATGTCAGGGTCAGGCGGCTGCATCACGCGCCCCAGCATCACCACGGCTGACAGCCAGTGCCAACAAATTGCAGCCTTTGTGCTGGGTCACCCCCCCCCGTGCATGCCCTTAATAGCCCCTTTCTGCACCCAAGGAACGTGATCCTGCATCACCCCATCCTGCTGCAGGATCCAGCTCTGCTGGGTGCATGCACAGCCTGATCCGAGCCCTGAGATTGGCAGCAGAGCCAACTTTGGGGTATTTTGGGTTGGTGCACTCAGAAGAATCTCTGCAGCTGCCATATAAACCCTCTGCATTTGGCTTCCACCAAAATGAGCATTATCCTTCAATCTTCACTTATTCTCCCCTTTGGCAGCCAAATGATGATTTGGGCATGCAGGGAAGCAGTGTACAACTTTGGGCATCCCAACACGAGGGCTGATATTTGGCCCCTGTCCGGGAACACCTCGCCAAGCTGTTGTTCCCATTTGTCATTCAGCGCGAAGGAAATCTGCTCCATTCTCTGTCATCCTCCCCATCCCAGAGGATAATTGATGCTAACGTCATTTCAGCTCGGTCCAGCTGCCAGACTCGGGAACAGATGTTTTATTGTTCCAATTGAGCACAAAACAAAAAGCAACCCCCCCAAAAAAAATAAAAGCAGCGCCGTTCAGCAAATCTGTGCTTGTGGTAAGGTTAGACACAGCTTCCTCACCCCAGAAATACACAAAGAGAGAACAGCAGCCCCAGGGAAGACCCTTGCCTACAGGAAAGGCAAAATCTATCCATGTAGCTCAGTGCAAACCTCTCCCGTGTAGGTAAGCACAGTACCTCTCCTGTGCAGAAATGAGAAATGCAAACTGCTCAAGTGATTTCCCTTGCACAGCTAGTGCAGAGGCACGGGGCTTCAGGTGAAGCCTACATCTTTTGACACCTCCTGGCATGTGCCACATGCTTGTCACTGCTGTTGGCAGTGCACCGTTTTCACCTTGCTCCATGAGATGGGGATGGTATGGATCTGATCTTCATCATTCCACTGGGTGACCACCAAGGGGACTGAGCCACCATGTTCCCCACTTTGCTGTCCTCTTGTGCTCCCATTCCAAACACCCTCTGTCCTGTACATGCTTTGTAATACATTCCTTTGGAGGGGTGTTGAGGGGTCTCGGAAGCTTGCAGGGTGTTAACCTGCAAGGACAGTGCATGGAGGCAGCCCTGTGGCCCTCTGCAACACCGCCAGCTGCAAATGCAGCACTGCATCGTAGTAGACTGCACTGTAGACTGCAAGGAGACCTAGGAAGGAGATTGGATGGAAAATATTTGCTCCATGAGGTCAGTGCTCTCTTTGCCTCTCCGTGCAGGGGACTTTGGACACAGGAGGGCAGCCACCTCCTGTGTGCTCCTGCTCCAGGGAGAGGCCCAATGAAAGCACAAGTGGAAAGTTGTGCAGGAGGCAAAGCAACTGAGCCTTCAGCAGCTGAGGCTTGCACTTGCTATTAGGGGAAACAGCCTGCTTTGAAGGAGTTTTGGGTGCTGCAGAGCTGAACTGCTGACTGGTGCCTCTTGTTCAAGAAGCCCCAAGCAAGCTCTGTGTGTGTATATAGGTATGCATGCGCATGCATGCAGCAGCCCTATTTATGACCCCAAGCAGGAAGAACACCAGGCAGAGCTGCCAGCTCTGGGATGCTCTCAGCGCTGATTCAGGCAGTGGGATGGGTGCCTGCCTGACTCACTGCCCCTGTGGGACATGTCAGTAAGAGTGATGTCTGCAGCCAGTTGGTGATGTCACTCCACGGTGAAGCATCCTTCTTGCATCACACCCCGCTGACGCTGAGAGCTCATTGCGCACTATGGGACTCACTCACAGCCCATTGCCGTTGCCATCGCTCAGCCCCAAACCCTGGCATCTGGGACACTTGAGCCCCGGCTCAGCTGTTGGCTGTTGGAGGAGCAGGATGGACGCATGGAGCAGGGCTGCAGGCTGGAATTCCACTTGCCACAGGGACTTCATGCCTGCGGCGCACTCTAAAAATACAAACAAAGCGGGCAGGGGAGAAACCCACCCTGCTCCCCATAGAGTCTGTCCAGCAACTTCCTGCTGCTCCTGCAGCAAAGCAATCAAGCTCATAAAATCAACCAGACCGTATTTTTCCGGAGTGTGAACTGAAGAATATAGCTGGAGATTGAACTAATGAACGTAACTATTGATGCTCTCATTGCTGTATGCATACGAGGGACGTGCCACCTCATGCCCTGCCGCCATGAGAAGGCACCGAGGTCCCAGCGCAGGGAGCAGCTAATGCAGGGAGCTGATCAAGTTACAGGCCAGCTATTGTATCATGTTTACCCTCTCCCCACACGTATCCTGTGCTCGGAGGATTCCTGGAAGCGGGAGACCATGTCGCACCCTCCTGCCATACAAACACGCCGGCTGTGCCGAAACCAAAGCCTGCACGTGACCGTGGCTGACCTCAGTCCCTCCCACCCTCCTCCTCCTCCTGCTGCCTGCTTCCAGCACAGGGCTGCCCCCATCTCCTAATTATTATCTTTTTTTTGCCCATGTCTTCTCTTAGCCCTGACTTTTAATTTAAAGCAGAAGGAGTGACACTGACAGAAAAGCCACAGGAGAGGAAGCTGTGGGAGCACAGCCCACACTGCTGGGGCAGCCCTGCCCTGGAATGAATAAGGGATGTGAGTCAGAGTAAGCCCTGAGCAGCTCTGACAGATCCAGACAGCAGGTCTGTGCTCTGTACGTCAGAGCATCGTAAGATTGGGAAAGACCTACAAGATCACCAAGTCCAACCCCAGCCCATCCCTACTACTGCCTATGTCCCTCAGTACCACATCTCCACAGTTCTGTAGCAACTCCATGGATGGTGACCCCACCACTGCCCTGGGCTGCCCAGCACAGTGATGGCTGGGGGGGAGTCAACAGAGTGCCAGAATGCGAGTTCTCCCCATGCTCACTTTTAGCACGAGGTCTCCCATCACATCTGTGTGCTCTTGTCCCCTCCCACCTCCCTTTACTTATAAACACACATGAAAGCTCGGCGCAGTCCCAGCCTGCAGCCAGGTTCCTGTCAGCACCCACTATCTCTGTGTCCTCAGCAAACTGCGTAAAAATAACAGCAGGAGGATCCTGCTGATCTGCAGGCCTTTTCCAGGAGTGGGCAGGAAGCAAAGGTGGTGGGTGATGGGAAGCATGAGAAGCGTCATGAGGTGCATCTGGGCAACACGTTCCTGTCATGCCTGGATGCCCAAAAATGGACCCCATGGACCTCCAGAGCAGAGAGAGCTTGCACTTCCCAGCACCGCAGGGACCCCATCCCACTGCAGGTCCCACACCTTGTGCTCCTGTTCCAGCTCTGCCTCAGAGCCAGAGCTCCACATGGCCGCGCATCTGGAAGGGCAGCAGCACGCCGGGCACTTCCTCATGGCACACAGCTGGGAATTGAGCACGCTTTTGCATTGTATGGGACAGG